TTCAAAATTGTTTAAGGAATTATTTTAATTGAGTTGAGAGAGCTAAAGAAATTGGAATTGAAATTGGTATTAGGGTCATTTTAGCACTGTTACATTATATTCTAATATTCTTTTGTTAAAAGCTATTTATATACAATAATTTGGTTTAATGTCACACGTATCGTGATCAAGGTCGGTTTCTGAGGCTACCTGGAGTCCTTTTATTCACCTAGACACCATCTTAACCTCCAAATGGTTCTAGAGACAATGTCGCGAAGCAAAGTTTGAAAATAACTGATCTAATAGCGTAGCTAGGCTAGAAACTAAGCTACAATAACCAGAAATTGACTCTTGTAGATTTTATCAAACAAAATTCGGTCAATTTGCTCAGTTTCTGATAGGATTCGAACCTCCAAGAGTGTAAAATAGTTTAGATATGATCATGTCTTGCACTGAACTCTATATTTCAATATTAAGTTTCTGGATTATATCTACTCTGATAAAATTTAATCACATATGTTCAATATTACAAATTCCAGACCATAAACCACTCAAAAAATTCCATATTCACCCTGAAAAGCATGAAAAAATTACATTTTAATTCTCATTTCTTCCTTTTTGTTATTCTTCGCATTTTCCTTAATCCATAAACATAAAATTGATTTTTTTTTCTACTTCGTCTTCCTTCAGTTCTTCCACCCTCGTTTCAAATTGCTATAAAATGAAATAAAATGCGATGACCATTGGCGAACAAAAAAAAAATATACAATTTCTATATCGAATATAATTCTCGCTCTCTATCAGCACAGCTCGTCCTTTTCGGCTCTGTGTACGTGTGACATTTTCTTCTCTGTGACTGTATAGAAAGGCAAAAAGAAGCGAAGTCATGGCAAAAAGCGAAGAGATAAGTAATAAAATAATAACAAACATGTCACGTTTATTTATCGATATTTGGTCAAAAAAGTTTAATGTGTAATCAATTTTGTGTGCTGTATTCAGCACTGGCCATTGCCATTTTGTATAATGTCCGAGATATGGAATGAGTCAATGTGCTGTGAGGTGGAGTGGGACGAGAGAAATGGGGATGAGGATATATGAGCATCCATAAAGATATTTTCCATTTAGAACAATTTATGTATTGCTACACGTTTTGGATAGTTAATGAGATTTTTAGATATATATATATGTTGTATATCTCACCATGCATCGTCGTCGTCGTTGTCGTTTGTCGACATCGTCGTTGTCCGTAGAGCTTTATCAATACAATTTATATTTTATTTTTTATATATTTTTTTCTCGTCCATTTTTCCTTTTTTTTCATCCTACCTACCTACCTACCTGCCATGAGCAGCAGAAGTGAAATAAAATATAGATTTTTATACTCACTCAATATAAAAAGTTTTCCTTCTTTTCCTTTTTCTCGCTGCTGCTGCTGCCCATTTTTTTTCATCCTCTTTGTGCACCTGCCGACCACTCAAACCATCCATATTTTGCCTCGTGCTTCGTAATCATCATCATTCACCACCCCAAAAACATACATACTTTAAATGAATGGACAAAATTAGGGGATGTAAAGGATCTGGGTTTTTTGGACGATTGGCGAATATATTTTTGATGGATTCGATTTTAATTGGGATTTTAAAAATTTAATTGAATTGAAGAATTCTTTTAATAACTTAAATTAACTTTAAGCACAAATGTCTACAAAGTTATAAAGTTGCATAGTAATTAGACTATAGAAAACTATGAAATTATAGGTTTAAATCCTACTTAAATAATCAAAAGAACATTTTCAAAGGTTGCTGAGTTATATTTTTTTTTTGTGCGAGTTTGCATCGTTTAAGCCTCAATCCGAACTATACAATCATTAGGAACGTCTCAAGAAACTCTCGAACAGGTTCCTACAATCACAAGAGCTCTAATAATCATCTCTCTATGACAGTCCAAACTCTCTTACTAGCTGTAGGTCTTCATAGTCACCGACAATATCAATGTCAACAGACATCCCGACTCAATGAGAACCCCCACATCCAAAGAACGATAAGGGAGGATAAATACAATATATCTATAGGTGTATTATTGACCCCAAACCATAAGAAAGAATTCTCCAACTTTTTATGCTCCGTAACAACGATTTTTGTGCTGTATATATATATTTTTTCTTACCGAAGCATTTTGCCCTGGCATTTTTTTTTTTCCTCCTAATGTCCAGATAGAAAAATATTATACGCATGCGGTCACGGGCAAAAATATTATGAAGCAAGAATATTATTGGTTCTTCCACTCAATGCTGTGTATATTTTCATTTTTATTTCCCTTCTCACAACTGACTGCTTATATAGCTGGGGAGATTTTTTATATGTCGGAGATATAAATATGAAAGTGTATGCGGAGGAGCACATTGCACAACCCCTCAAAATATTTATTTTTTTATATCCTCGTTTATTATGAAGAAAAATAGACGATATTACATTATATTTTCTTCTGCCATCGCTCTTATCTGCTTCGGTTCCTTCTTATCCGAATGAGTTCTTTTTTTTGTGTGCTCGAAAGTTGTTTGTCTTCGCCTTCATTTCATTTTCATTTCTACTTGAAAATTATTTGCAGACTTATGAAGAGAAATGAAAATAAAAAAAAAAAATTATGTGGATATATAGCATAAGTCCACAACGCAGTGGAATGAAGAACAAAAAAGTTTCATTTCTCAAATGAATGGGCTTGGAAAAAAATTCGATATTGAAGTTTTTTTCATTTCTTTATGTTGCTTCCTTCTTTCTTGTGTTTATGCCTTATCACCCAGCCAGCCACCCACACAACCTATCAATTCACTCATTTTCTTTTATACTTTTGAGGAATTTTTTTCTTATTCTTGTTTAGGGATTTTTTGCCAAGACAGGAATATTTGAGGGATTTAGGATGTTGCACCTGATAATTGTTAGGAATTTGTAGACTATAGACTAAGTTGTAGCTAGTAAGTTGTCTATCTAATCTATTAAGTTGACAATTCAAAGGTTCAAATCCTTATTTATCCAAAAGTTATTTTTTTTTGGAACTTTGATTATCCAGCATCTCATCAATATGCATCCTCACTGGTCTGCAAAAAAATTCATCTCATTCCAATGGTCACGGCAACTCGAAAGGAAAATGTGTATGAAATGAGAGAAGGTGAAAATATCTGTTGCAATGGGATGAGAGTACGAGTAGGTGAATGTAGGAGCTGAATTGAGGAGGAAGAAGAAGAGAATGGAAAAAAAGTTCCTACAAAAAGCCATGAGATATTATAACAGCACAACATAAACTTTATCCATTCTTTATTCATTCTCATACAATAAGCGGGAGGCATTCAGCCACCCCAACAACTTTTTGTATTTCATTATTGCTGTTGTTGTAGCCATGATTGAAGCATGAATGATTTTTTTGAGAATGTGAAATTAAGGCGCATTTTTCTAGGTTAGGATAAATTTTTAAAAAAATGCAGAAAAAAGTTTTATAGCCGAGACTCGAACCTACCTCTCAATCGGAAAAATTATAGAAATTTTGTATGAATTCTAATACTTTGTAAGGCATCTTGTGCACACGAATTGTGACTAGGTACATTGCAGGTTACTTCAGATCTTATGACATACTCGTGTCTTTTCAATGTGCAGAGTATGCAAGTGGTTCGGATCCCACTATAAACTGTAGGTCTAAAGGATGTAATACAATTGATTCTTTACAAAATGAATCGCAGTTCCTCCAGCTGAAAGGCTGGGCCTTTCACACATTATTATTATTTGACATAGACTTGACACAAGCTTAACACTTACTTGACGAAGATTTGACACAGACTTAACACTAACTTGACACTAACTTGACCTAGACTTGACTTCAACTTGACACTATCTTGACAAAGACTTCACATTAACTTGACACATCCTTGACTTAAACTGGACACTAACTTGACATAGACTTCTCACAAACTTGATACTTACTTGACACAAACTTGACTTAAATTTGACACAAAATTGACTTAAATTTGACACAAACTTTACTTAAATTTGACACAAACTTGACTTAAATTTGACACAAACTTGACAAAGGCTTACAGACAATTCGACGACATTATCAACATTTCCACTTAGGTACAATGCCCCAAAAAAGTAGTTTGAGAAGCGATTTATTTCATATATATATTTGCCGAATGTTGATATTCAGCTTGTGAGGTGTGAGGAAATTGAGAATGAGAGGAAAATTTTTATTCTGTAGGATCAAAATCAATGAAATGTGGAATGAGTAAAAACAAATTATATTCGAAATATTCCCGTTTATAAAGCCTGGGGTTTTCCATAATAAAATACACAACAGGAAAGTATAAATGTGTGCATGTATGCAGAGGAGATACAGAATCATTTAATATTTTATCAAAATTTATATTTTATCGTATTGAGGATGTTGGGGAGGATTTGGTGTCATATTAATGGATATATACTATTGATGGTGCTGGATTGTGACTCATTTTGTGATATTTTCTGATTTTTAAGAACCCCAGCATCCTCAAATCCTCAAACGACATTCAAAATATGCGGGCAAATGACAATAGCAATTTTTTCAAATTATAAATAAAAAACTTTTTTTTTGCTGCTCCTCACTTCCTCTATTTAGATGAAATTACATTGCATTTGTCAGGACTCAAAATGAATGTGGAGACGAAACGAGAGATATATGCTGGAAAATTAAAAAAAAAATAAATTTTTCCTTCTGTGACAGAAATTTCATTTAGTAAATTGAGCTTGCACATTCTAGGGAGCTATGGGATTGTATCAAAATTGAGATAAACGGCTGTTGGATATTTGAAATAAATTATTGAATTAAATTTGACATTAATCTCGGTGTGAATGTTTTTTGATGGATTTTGAGTTGTTGTGGAGGTGGAAATTGTGGATGGTGGAAAAAAGGAATTGAACAATTGTTTTTTGATTAGAACTAGTGTATCGGGTAGAAACCCAATGCGGATATATTCACACCGTACCATCAAAAGTCTTATGGATAGACCAAGATTTGCTCAGCATAAGTTTGAAGTGTGGGCGTGAAGTACGGCCGAGACCCATATCGACACAGTTAAAAAGTTATACCTAATTTATGTTATAATTATGTCAGCTACAAATATTATTAAAAAGTAATTAATTCTGAATTATGTCGCTATTTTGTCAAATGTTTTAAGATTAAGAATTTGTTTTTTGGTTTTTACAGTGAAGAGTATGAACAGATTTCGATTTTTTTAAGCTATGAATTACAAAAAGGAATATTGGTATGTGATTTATGTCAGAACTATGTCAATTCAAATAAAACATTCAAATAATTTTTTTGACCAAAGTACCAAGTAGGAAATACATTTTCAATTTTGGACTAGGGGCGACCCTAGTCAAAATCAATTTTGTCACTTTTTTCTTCGAGGGTTTATCCAAATGGATTGAAACTTTGCGTAAATATTTTAGTGCTTAAAACAAATACAAATAAAATATCTTAAAATTTTTTGAGCTAAAGAACCAAGTAGGAAATACATTTTCAATTATGAACTTGGGACAGGTCTAGTCAAAATCTAGTTTCCTACTTGGTTTTTTGCTCAAAAAAATTTAGGATATTTTATTTGTATTTGTTTTAAGCACTAAAATATTTACGCAAAGTTTCAATCCATTTGGATAAACCCTCGAAGAAAAAGGTGACAAAATTGATTTTGACTAGGGTCGCCCCTAGTCCAAAATTGAAAATGTATTTCCTACTTGGTTCTTTGCTCAAAAAAATTTTAAGATGTTTTATTTGTATTTGTTTTAAGCATTAGAATATTTATGCAAAGTTTCAATCCATTTGTATAAACCCTCGAAGAAAAAAGTGACAAAATTGATTTTGACTAGGGTCGCCCCTAGTCCAAAATTGAAAATGTATTTCCTACTTGGTTACTAGCTCAAAAAATTTTAGAATGTTTTATCTGTATTTGTTTTAAGCACTAGAATATTTATGCAAAGTTTCAATCCATTTGGATAAACCCTCGAAGAAAAAAGTGACAAAATTGATTTTGACTAGGGTCGCCCCTAGTCCAAAATTGAAAATGTATTTCCTACTTGGTTCTTTGATCAAAAAAATTTTAGAATGTTTTATTTGTATTTGTTTTATGCATTAGAATATTTATGCAAAGTTTCAATCCATTTGGATAAACCCTCGAAGAAAAAAGTGACAAAATTGATTTTGACTAGGGTCGCCCCTAGTCCAAAATTGAAAATGTATTTCCTACTTGGTTACTAGCTCAAAAAATTTTAGAATGTTTTATCTGTATTTGTTTTAAGCACTAGAATATTTATGCAAAGTTTCAATCCATTTGGATAAACCCTCGAAGAAAAAAGTGACAAAATTGATTTTGACTAGGGTCGCCCCTAGTCCAAAATTGAAAATGTATAAAAATTTTTTCATCCAAAGTTTAATTTATAAAAAAATCACAGTGACCTTTTAATTTGAAAAATTCGTAAGAAAGGAAAGTTTTTTGCTTTTTCTGAAGCAACGGCTGTTCCTACCTTGCCTAAAAATAATACAGCTCTTCTATAGAGCAGCACGGATCAAATGTAAAAAACTAGAAGTCTCTACAATGTCTCGTTACTGAGATTTCTTGCTGATTAACTTGCTTGTTTGCTTGTTTGCTTGCTTCCAGAAAGCATATTCTCAGCAATGCCGCAACCAATTTGAAATCTGTTTTTTGCAAAAGATGTCAAATTCAAGGCACAAACTTTTCATTTCAGAACATTTTAAGCTATCTTGCTCCATATCCTCACAAAATTCAAAAAACTGATTTTTCAATCTGAACAAAACCAATAGATTCACACGTGAAAACGGTGTGAATATAAAAAAATCAAAAAAGTACTTGAAACGATGAGATATTTTTAAAATTAATAAGGATTCGAACCTATATATTTTTTATTATTTTGTTCATATTTAAATAATTCCATAAACAGAATGCAACAAAATCTATTGATAAGCTGTATTTTAGCATTTATGATTTGATCTCAAAATAGCACAAGTCGGTTAATCGAATAGAAATCCAGCATAAAACTAGCGTAACTTTGGCATTGTGCTGGTTTCGATTTTACTATTCCTGATTTTGCTATTCCTGAATTCTTGAAACTTCAAAATATCAAAGCATGACATCATTTACAAACAACTCCCTAATATCACACTCATCTTCAATTTCAAGCCAATTATGCATTTATATTTATTAAATGTAATAAAGCATGTAATTTATTGACGCAATCGTTGACACATGCTGAACAATATCCATAAATACATAAAAATAATTGTCATCTTAATCCTCATGTTCATCTCCATGTATTAATTTAAACTGTGCACGCGTCATTATCACTTTTTTTATGTTCCTTATTTACTGATTATTATCAATGTCATGGTATTACAATTTAACTTCCTTATTTTATGCATTTTAAGCCTCTTTTTCCTATTGCTGAGAATTTTTATGATTTTTTTTATGAATAATTTGAGATTCACTTTGGTGTCATTTTCCACGTTAACCCCTCATAATTCTCACTGTCACGTGATTGTCTCTATTTTTGGGATTAAGAACTTTCCTGCAATCATCATGTATGCAATGCACTGAATTAGATTCATTTGTCGTTTATTATGTAAAATATTTTGACATGGATAGCATGACATCGTGAATCCTCCTCAAATTTCAAGTCAATGACGACATTCGCTTTTAATTCCCAATTTGGCAGGAAATCGTTTGACTAATGATGGTTAAAAATGGCATTAAAGGGGGAGAGTAAATAGACATGAACGTGTAAGAGGGATAAATATTTTCGGTATCGGAGATGCGCGCGTGTCGCTGTTAATACTCAATCTCTGAATTTATGTCTCGATGTGCAATAAAAATATTTTTTTGAAGAAAAAAAGTCAGAAAATACAAGGCATAATGATGATGATGAATCTACTTTTTTAACATCATAAGCAGCATGTTGTTGTCGTCTTATCGATTGGGGATTATTTAAATGGCATTTACTTTTTGTTGTTTAAACTTTTTTATGTTCCTAAAATTGTTACTGATGCGACTTAGTTTGGGATTAAATTGTAACTTTTTGACTTTACGAGAGTGAGGAGCTTGAGAAAATTATTTTCTGATTTTATTGTAAATTATGTTATGATTTCTGCAATGTTGTTACTTTAAATGATTATACAAATATAAGTTTGAAATAAAATGGAATAGGTTCAATTCCTTAATTTTTAAGAACTTCTAAAATTATTCAAGATCTTTCCTGTCTGTGATTTTTTTGGATTTAAGTTCAAAACCTTATTAAATTTTTAATGTTTTAGTGCATTTTATGGTTTTCCTCCTGAATATGATGTGCCACATGTGATGATATACAACTGGAAATGTGCTTCTGTACCACATATTCGCTAATCTTAAACCATGTGAGTCAGAATATCTGGCATTTTGCTATGTCTTATGCCTTAAAGCATCCAAATATTCTCGAAAAATAAACCCGTTCCTTCAAATCTTAATCTCTCTCATCAAAAACCCAAAAAATTATTAAAAAACAAAATCTGATTTGAAAATTGCATATAATTGCTGCACATGCCCGCAATATGTCTATCCAAAAAATATTTGCATCATTTTTCAGCTCCAAATGTCACTCAACATCAACCTCATAATTTTAATGTTCCTAAAAACTTTTTGATGAACATCTGAGAAGCTTCGCTCGAAGGCTGAAGAATGCATAAAAAATTTAAAATCTTCATAAATTTAAAAGTCACGCGATGAACATAAAAAAGAAATCTCGAAAAAAGTATAAAAGAATTTACGATTTTGACAATAAAAAGTCATCAATTGTGTAAAAATTCCATATTTCAATTTGATTGTGAGATTAAAAGATTTTCAAACTTTTATTCTAGAATGGAAGGGGTTTTCAGCCCACTGCCTGCTTTTTTTCATCCCTAAATCATCAACATTAACATTTTTTGAAGCAAGCTGAATCATTTTTCATTCTAATCGTCATCATCATTGTGTACATAATAAAAAAAATTTTAGACAGTTTTTCCTGCAATGCGGAAAATTAATTATTTCGCTCAAGCCTTTGAATTAATAATCGACTCGATTCATTTCAAAATATTCACGAATTATAAAATGAATGTTGAGGCGAATGAGTCGAGATAAAATGGATGTCAGGAAGTTTTTATGGGATGATAATATTTAAAATGGCATGAGAATGTTCATAAATGACGTCAAACATTTAAGGGGAAGGGATAATACAGTTTTGGATTTGGGATGAGAGGGGTCTAGTGCGTAGCCAAGAGGAGAGTTGAGTGACAGTTTTTCTAAAGATGTCATTTTTGAAAAGGCCTTTAATAGGGGTCACTTAAAAAAACTATTGTTTGATTCGAGATTCGAACCTATGACTTTTGTAAAAAAATGAACTATTCAGATAGACCTACCAAAATTCTAGCTTAATTATTAAGGATTCGAACCTTCATTCTTAGATAATTTTGTTACGACATTAAAATTTAATTCATCAAAGCTTGATTAAATGCGATAAAATGTTTTACTTGAGTGTCAAAATCCAATTCTAACCTCCAAAAAAATTATTGATTTCATCATCACTAAAATATAAAATAATATTGTTTAGACGGCACAACAAAAAAATATTCTCAGCTAAATATGCCGTATTTTAAAATGCTCACATTTTAATCAAACTCCGAATCAACATCGTCATTATTTTGATAATATTTCATCAAAAGCTGGAAATACATAGAGTCGTGTCCTCATACTCCTCGTCATTTTGATTAAATGTGTATATTTTTCTATTCAATATAGAATGATTGAATTGATGGAAATAGAAATGAATGAATGACATAGAAAATCGGGAGGATGAGAGGTGCGGGTCGATATTGAAGGATGAAATAGATATTTTAGAAAATTAGTAAATGACAAAAAAAAAATTAAATTAAGCTCTAAAGTAAAATTAATGATTGAATAGTTTTTTTTCAACATGAACGCCATGAGCCGATTATTTATTGAATTATATCATTTGAAAATTAATTTTAACAAAATTTTAAACGCGCTTATTTTTGCATGACACATTTAAAAAATTTATGTTTGGTGACTGGCTTGATGATTGGGGTGTTGGTGGTGCTTTTCAATGAACATTTTAGAATATTTTGAATTTAAACATTTTATTGAAAATTTTAAAATCATGTTTTTGAGTGTCTGAATTAGTTTTTTTCGAAAAAAATAAAAAAAAATGTTAAAAAGAATTTAAAAAATATTAAAATTCAAGAAAAAAATTCAAAAAAATTTTGAAAATTCGAAAAATTATA